GGAAGAAGATATGCAAATTCCCGCAGAATTTGCATATCCTCTTTTGAAAATTCTATGTAGTCTAGACATAACCTAAGAGATTGTTGGATTTAGAACCTGGTAGATTATGTTTGTATTAGACTGCGTGAAGAAAAAGGATGGACAACTCCAGCTGTCAGAAAGAAAAATGATTTACTTTCCAGATCACCATTAAGTCAGACAGTGGAAATTCAACAGAAATTGTTGACTGTTACTGTTTGTTCAGACAGAACAATCAACAAGTAACCAGCAGTATCCCCCAGCCCTCAGAGCTGCCCGGGCACGCCATGCAGCCCTCCTGTGGTGATTTAAAGGGTCTGGAACTCTGGGCACTGCCCCTGCCATAGCTGCAGTGGCTGGGAGCCCCAGGCCTCCTAGAATGACCAGGCCCCAGAGCAATTGCCTTTTCTGTCCGCCCCCTGTCCTCCCCCCCATCATCGGGCCCATCAAGAACCCACCCAGTGACTGGGACAATTACACTCTACCCCCGGGTGCCTCTACTTATGGTTGATGCAGAACACCATGATGACTCAAAGATTCCAGATCAACCAGAGAGACATTGCAACTAATGAACAGCCAGCTATTATGAATTCAGGTCATGTAATTAGAAAATCAGTATGATTCAGAGACATTTAACAAACTGATAGGTACTGACCTTTAAAGATAGCGTGTTAGTATACATTTTGTAATATTCTATAAAGGATGAGATGTAATAAAATGTCAAACTGTATTATACCATTCAGCATTAAGTGGCGTCATGTGTAACATACCTCTTCTGGGAATATAACAGTTACACCTTGCCTTGTATTAAAGTATTTTAAAGAGAACACATCTTATATCTTCCTGGAATGGAAGATCTATTCCTGGTCAATAGCTGGCACATGACAGGATGCACCCTGAATCCATCCCTATCTAACATCTGTGTAATTCTGATATGCACTTCCAAGCTTGTTAGATTAAATTAGAAGCTTCATTTTTGTATATGATACCATGAAAAAATGCTATATAACAGGTCAGGGACAAAGTACTCTGAAATTAAAATGGCTGCATAGTCTTAAGGATTTACTATAAGGCCTGATTTTGTGACACATGGTGATAAAGATAATTAGTATTGGTTTACACTTTGTTTAATTGATTTATGAGGTTTTCTGCTCCTTGTGAGACAAAAATTTGAGCTTCCCTCATAATACAGGGCCAGATTTTGCAATTTGAGAAGATCCTGGTCCCAGTGACTACATCCTTAAGAGCTGATGAATGTATTAGGATTTACACTGTAAAAACTAAAAACTAAATCTAAAATCGATTTTGGTCTCTCAGTTTTTTAGTGAAATGATAGTACAGTACCTGAACTGTTTGGTGTTAATGCTATAAATTGAAATCACTATAATTTTTAAATCCCCACTTTATTGTTTGTATCTGCAACATTATCTCCTGCTAAAACTATTATCTTTCACTGACTGATCTACCTCACTGACCTATGCAACATACAAAGTAATATGAGAAACCTGTTACTAGTTATTTTAAGTCATTCAATATGATAATCTAAAAATTACATCATGCAGCTGTTTGATTTTATTTATTATTTCTTAATCTCAGACACTAACTACTGCACACAGCCAGGAATAAATGGACTGTGAGCATGGGAGGCCCAAAGAGTTAGTAAAGGATATTTTCTTTCCTTCTACTCCAATAGTGGCCTCTCTTGCTGCCACTCTTCCCTAAGACAGAGGTTCAGTTACTGGATCTATTCAGGATACCATCTCCATCCATTTGGAGCATACACAGCAACAGCCAAGATTATACTCTCATGTGACTTCACTTTTTGTGTCATCCAAATAACCTCCAATAAATAATCCTTCAAAAAAAGTAGTAAGGAAAAGCTTGATATTCTTGATAAATGAGAAAAAAAAAGCAACAAAAATGTTAAAGCAAACTTTAAGGCCATCTTTGTAAATCATAGAGAAAATGTAATGGGAATTGGAATTTTTGCAAGTTTTCAGTAAAATACAGGCAGTCCCTGGGTTACGTACAAGATAGGGACTGTAGGTTTGTTCTTAAGTTGAATCTGTATGTAAGTCAGAACTGGCGTCCAGATTCAGCCGCTGCTGAAACTGACCAGCAGTGGCTGAATCAGGACGCCTGGGACAGAGCAGCTGGGGTGCTGCCGGGTTGGTCCAGTAGCGCCCAGAGCGGCGCTATGGGACCAACCGGCAGCCCCCCAGCTGCTGTACCACAGGCGCCCGGAGCAAAGCGGCGGAGCACGGGGGCAGCGGGACAGCCCAGACGCGCCGTGGCTGTCCTGCTGCCCTCGGGCTCCGCGGCTTTGCTCTGCTTTGCTCCCCGTCCCCCTGGTCTGCAGGCTGCCCGCTGCCCGCGTGTGGGCGTCTGGGCTGCCCGCTGCCCGCGTGTTCCGCTGCTTTGCTCCCCGTCCCCCTGGTCTGCAGGCTGCCCGCTGCCCGCGTGTGGGCGTCTGGGCTGCCCGCTGCCCGCGTGTTCCGCTGCTTTGCTCCCCGTCCCCCTGGTCTGCAGGCTGCCCGCTGCCCGCGTGTGGGCGTCTGGGCTGCCCGCTGCCCGCGTGTTCCGCTGCTTTGCTCCCCGTCCCCCTGGTCTGCAGGCTGCCCGCTGCCCGCGTGTGGGCGTCTGGGCTGCCCGCTGCCCGCGTGTTCCGCTGCTTTGCTCCCCGTCCCCCTGGTCTGCAGGCTGCCCGCTGCCCGCGTGTGGGCGTCTGGGCTGCCCGCTGCCCGCGTGTTCCGCTGCTTTGCTCCCCGTCCCCCTGGTCTGCAGGCTGCCCGCTGCCCGCGTGTGGGCGTCTGGGCTGCCCGCTGCCCGCGTGTTCCGCTGCTTTGCTCCCCGTCCCCCTGGTCTGCAGGCTGCCCGCTGCCCGCGTGTGGGCGTCTGGGCTGCCCGCTGCCCGCGTGTTCCGCCGCTTTGCTTCCTCTCCCTGGTCTGCTGGAGACCAGGGAGAGGGCCCCGTTCGTAAGTCGGATCCGCGTAACTCGGGGATTGCCTTTAACCTTTCCCTTAACTATGTGCCTGAGTCAGAGCTGTTCATATGATGGTTCAGGGCAGCTGCCTCAGGCCCTGTGCTTTGAGGGGTGACCGCCTTAACCATCCTATAGATGGGTTCGTGTCCCATATTAACCATGAGGCCCAGAGTGGCCATGGGGATTTCCTGCTGGAGTTGTGTACATTTAGTCAACGGTGCCCATTAATGTAGACTTGCCCAAGATATCACACTAGTTATCCCATATATGGAACCTACAATGGTCTTTTCACTGCACTCTTAACTTCCTGCCATTGTAATGGTAATTCTTTTCAGCACTTAAGTGACAGCTTTATTGTTGTGTCTCTACTCCGCAGTACTCATGTCTCAGCATGATTTACTTAGTTTATTTTTGCTAACCCATTTTTACATGACCCAAGATACAAGGACTTGAAACTATGGGATAGATTTCTCTCTCCGTTTCTTCCTCCTCGTGCCAGTAAATCAGGAGTAACGCAATAGAAGTCAATGAAATTAAAAAGGTGTAAAGTTGAAATGAAAGGGGAATCAGGCCATATGTCTCTGAAGGTGAAAGTATTTGTGAACTAACCTAGTGCACTAGTTAGTTGTAGTTGCTCATTTAGCTGAGCTTTACTAACCAGTTCTTGATTACTATTTTGCAGTTTTGAGGTCAATATAGAATTAACTTGCACAAAAGTCGGAGAATAAAAAAGTTACCGGTAAAGGCAAATAGATGAAGAATATTTTTTGTTATCAATACAAGAAATTCCTTACTTGTGACATCCAATCCCAGGGGGAAGAGTTTTAATTTTGTTATGCCGGAGATCCAGCCAAACAAGATTTGGCAGCTGCTGAAATAAATCCTTAGGAATTATGGATAAAGCATTTCCTTCCAGATGCAAATGCTAATGTAAAAAAAAATAAAATAAAACAAATATGTTTTAAAACCAGAATTAAAGGAGAATGACTGTTCCCTTCGCCTGAAGAACATTACTGTGAAAACCCTGGTAAACTGACCTATAAACTATCCTAAAAATTACAGTTTCATAAAACCATTAAGTAGATGATTGTTACAATCAGTTTTTTATTTAATTAAGGACTAGTTTTTATAAAGCAGAAGGGAAAAATTATAGTTAAGAATCTCTAGATTTTCCACTGTCTTTAAAATGAGAGCCATACTAGGCCTTTAATTGGTGCCTACAAAATTTAAGTCAAATGTGTAATTATCAGAATTACAGCAATTTACTCACCTTAAGGTTGGGTAATTTGTATATTTCCTCTGTAAGATGCTGAAGATTTTTCTTACTCAAATCCAAAGTATTTGTAGCAGTATACAATGTATCTTCAACAGCCTTCCTGATATCTTTTGATGAACTTGAACCAGATAGGTTTCTCTTTTTCTGACAGTCATTCTCTAAGTAATCACCACTATCATGAGACTCTTGAAAAAAGCTTTCATCCATTTGTTAGCAAACCTAAAATACTGACCATATAATGCAAACTGATTATCTGAAAGTAAGTCATAAGCCAAGAGCAAATAATAACAACAAAAATCCCACAGGTTTCTTTTCTGTGACTTTTATTTCCCACGTCTCCACTAGAGCTATGTGATACTTTAGAGGATCAGAAAATAATGAAATTATTCTATATTTTTACATTCATTTAAAAGTAATAACAAAGGGAAAAAACACTGGGTTCATGCTTCTCATAACAGCATCCCTTATATCTCTCTCCCACACCATCCCTTATATTTTGAATGGGTTTATATTTTCCATGCACCACATGATCTCCATCTCCTACGATGCCTTCTCAAAACATATTTCAAAGCTGAGTACAGTTCTGTGTTTTCTGGGATGGTACTTGCACCTTAGTAGTTTCCCAGTACCCTCTGTCTCCTCCAAATTCCCTTCCTCCCTCTTCCAACACCCACCTCTTTCTTTCTCATTTGTTCTAACTACCACAAAGACATATGCACTATAGAGTGCTCAAAACCCCTGAATATCTGAAGTGCACCTATTTTCTATTTCAAGTGATGGAGTCCATCTCAAAGTAGAACCAGAATTCAGAGGACTTCTCTGCTTAAATTACCATCTGTAAATTTAGAAAATTAGTGCTTATTTAGGTGGCAAAATCTGCAGATTATACTAAACTGGTCAAGATAGTTAAGTCCAAAGCAGACTGTGAAGAGTTTCAAAAGGATCTCACAACACTAGGTGAGTTGGCAATGACATGGCAGATGATTTGCAATGTTCATAAATACAAAGTAATGCATATTGGAAAACATAATCCCAACTATACATGCAAAATGATGGGCACTAAATTAGCAATTCCTCTCCAGAGAGAAATCTTGGAGTCATTGTGGATAGTTCTCTGAAAACTAGAGATATTAAAAAGCATTTAATAAGGTAACCATGTAGTCGCTAAAAATCTTAGTGGTTACATGTACTGCAGCATGTAGCAAAGCCTCCCCGGAAGCAGAGCAGGTAGCTCTTGCCTGCCCGGTTCTTGGGGAAGAGACTGCTGCAGCAGCAAATCGACAGCTCTTGCCTCCCAGGGAGGAGGCTTCTCTGCAGCGATGCTGCCTCCACGGGAAGTCAACTGAGTTTAACCAACACCATTAACCAATAAGCATTAATTTATCAGTTAAATGGTTAGTCAGTTAAACCCTAACATCCCTACTGAAAACATCCACTCAGTATATCTTATTGCCTTTATGTAAATCCACATTTTGAATACTGCATGCAGATGTGGTTGCCTCATCCAAAAACATCTTGGCATTGGAAAAAGTTCAGAAAAGGACAACAAAAATAATTAGGAGTTTGTAATGGCTGCCATTTGAGCAGAGATTAATAAAAGGGATTTTTTCACCTTAGAAAAGAGGAGACTAAGGGGGGATATGATAGAGGTATACAAAATCATGACTGGTGTGGAGTAAGTAAAAAGAGATAAGTTATTTACTTGTTCCCATAACACAAGAACTAAGGGTAACAAAATGAAATGAACAGGTAGCAGGTTTAAACAACAATAGGAAGTATTTCTTCATACAATGCACAGTCAACCTATAGAACCCCTTGCCAGAGGATTTATGTAGACCAGGATTTTAACAGGGTTCAAAAAAGAACTAGATAAATTCATGGAGCATAGGTCCATCAATGTTTTTTAGCCAGAATGAGTAGGAATGGTGTCCCTAGTTTGTTTAAACTGGGAATGGGTGACAGGGGTGACAGGGGAGGAATCACTTGATGATTGCCTGTTTTGTTCCTTCCCTCTGGGGCACTTGGCATTGGCCACTGTCAAAAGATAGGCTACTGGGCTAGATGAACCTTTTGTCTGACTTGGTATGGCCTTCCTTATGTTCTTATGTTCACTTATCTTTGTAAAAATCTTTGAGGGGCAATGAATGAAAAGTATAGTGTAAGTGCAATGTGTTGTTATGTAACATTGTTTCTACCATCTCATGTCTAAGTGCAGGAACAACTTAAGTATTTCTCTTTAACATCTTTAAAGATTTGTGGATATGCAGAGTGTGATGCAATCCTATTTATTTTAAAATGAGAAACTTGATCTAATGGCTAGAGTGCTAGCCTGAGACTTGGTAGATTAGTTGTATATAATTCTCTGTTCTGTCACAGAAATCTTCTGTGACTGTGGATAAGTTGCTTGGGCAGATTTTCAGAGGTATTCAGCCAACAAAAGATGCAGATACCATAAAATCGCGAGTATAATGTGCACCTACGTATAGTGAATACCGTTCCACGAGGAGTACAGATAGTTCAGAATGGCTACGTAGTTCGAACTATCTAGCCCGTGCCGTGTGTAACCGCGCGGCACGGGGTTCGCACTAGCCGGCTTTTAAAAATGGCGGCGCCGGCTTTATGCTAATGAAGCCCGGGAAATTCAAATCCCAGGCTTCATTAGCAAGTTCGGTATGCATACATTACCCCGCTAGTTCGAACTAGCGGGGTAGTGTAGACATACCCTAAGACAATGAGAGCTAGGTTGACCCTATAGTAAAAGACCAGCAAAAGGACTATATACATTGTATTGTAGAGCCTGACATTATAAGTTGGTAAATAATGCAGTTTATGAGAACAATATAAACAACATGTTTGAGATAAAACTGTGTCTACATGATTTCCTTATACCTCAGTTACATTATGCAATACAGTTTGGTTTAGGTTAATTTAAGTAATGCTTTTTACCTAAAATTGTTTTTAAATTGTCATGATTAAATTCCTGTGATTTTCATAATTGTAAATAATTGATCATTTAGGATATTTGTTTACAGCACCATATATTCTCAATATTGAGTATTTTGATTTAAAGAAAAACAAGCTAAAAAAATGGTCAAGGCTGTTCCTATGTGCCTTCCCGTTCCTCAAATGTCAGTGGCAATACTACATAATCTTCCATTAGTTATTTTGTTTGACTGTTTGTTTATCATTCTTGCAGTTTTATTACTGTTGCAAAGTTGCTTAAAAGGAATTGTAGTGCAATCCTAACTGGCAGTTACAAAAATACAAACCAAAATCAGATTCTGAAAAACACATGTATTTAACTTTATTGAGATTAGTCTCACTGGAAAAAAAAACTAGTTAAGCATGTACGTGTTTTAAAGACCGAGGCCTACCGATCTGACCTGCATAACTATTCTCCATCTTTTGCTCCTTAGAACAAATATATGAAAAGGAGAAGATAAAAAGTATAATGCCCCTCATAGGAATGCTACAAGCCTCACTTACAGATTCATCTGAAAGTTTCCATTTCTTGTAATTTATTCAAGGATTTTACTATGATATTTAATAGATTAAAAAAAAAGAGCCCTTATTTATCTCCTTACTCCAAGTGCATGCACAGAAACACAGATGAACTTCTCTCACACTGGTAAAAGTTCAGGACTAACCCCACTGGAGTCAGCAAAAGCACCCAGCTGTAGAACTGATGTGAGAGAAGAGAACCAGGCCCAGAGAGTTATAAACCATACTGGCTTTTACAGTCACAAAAACCCTGGCACCGTGGTACTCTCACTAGGGTAACCAGTTTTTTAAACTTCATTTTTTTTAAACTGTGGCCCAGAACTCAGCCCTGCCAGGAAGGGTCTGGCCTTCGATTCAGAACCAGGATTTGCTCTATTAGGACCGCTTTGCTGCTTTCTGGGTTTTGGATTAGGGCTGCAGGGCAGACTCACTGACATGGGGACAAAAAACGAGCATCCCCCGGCCAAACAGTGCCTCGGGGAGGTTTGATTGTGGGGGGCAGTGCAGCGCCGCACCAGATGGCAGAGGGACTTGGTTGGCCCTACAGAAACTCCCTCCAGAGCTGGGGAGTGGTACGGAGGGGGGAGGTCAGGGTACAGGACGCCCCAAAGCCCGACAGGCTCCTCTCCCAGCAGCAGCTGGCGCCTT